TACTGGATGTCAGAACATCAGAGTCCTAGAGTCCAAAGAGACTTCGACAAGTGGTGTGAACTGGTTTTATTTCCTGTTTTCTGATTCATCAAAGCAACATAACATGCTCCCCATGCAGTCAAAATGGGGAGCAGCCGGAAGTCTGACTGATTTGATGTATTTTAACCAAGTGTTAAACTCTCCTGTCGGCTCTCAGACCGTAGTGGAGGAAACAGGGGTGACTCTCTGCAGTCTTCCAGGGCTGAAGCAACAAACTTCGGGTTCAATAACCCACTTTTCAATAAGGCAGACAGGCGAGCTCTTCTTTGGAGGCCGTTGCATTTATTAAGGTCTTTGTGACAGATCTAACTTTGAAGACACTTGATAGACCTGTTTTGCTGCTGTTTCGTTCACTTCAAAACACATACCACCGCTCGCTCACTCTCGCTCGCTCTACCATGCACACACACTACACCCCCCTCTCTCTCTCTCTCTTAAAGGGATAGCGATCTGACTCTGCATGACCCTAATATCATAACACAATTCTAAACCTCTTATAAGGATCAGTTCACCCTCAAACAAACACAGTCCCACTTACCAGAAATCTAAAGTTACTGACTCACCAAACCATTTAGACTGTGGTGAATTGTTGCATGGGCCTGATTGGGTTAGGGTTAGGGTTAGGCAATGTACAACTGGTTTACAACGACTCCATATGCAACTGACTGACCCCTTTAGTTTGTATGCTCTCCTTTTAAGAGAGGCGGTCGGATCAGCCAGTCCAATCAATGTTCCAGGCTTTAGTGTCTTTTCTAGCTCTAACAAGGATAATATAAAAACAAATAACTTAAAAACAAAGTCTATCTGCTGACTGAAATCTCTCTTTACATCTGAAGGTATCCGATCCGTGAGCCCAGAGAGCATTGCTTTGGAGACAAGGAGGAATTCCCAGGCGTGAGAACCTATGGCGTGAGAGATGTCAACGAGACCTACGACGTGTACTGTTTTGCTGAGAAGCTTTCAGGTACTGTCATCAACACGAATTATGTTTATCCAGTTTATTTTCCTCAGGTTTCCACAGTTAAACATACAAAAAAACATTGGTTTGACATCCCCTTTTTCCCCTGGGAGAAAAACACGTGCCTCTCCCGTTCCCAATCACTTCTTCACCTGTTTCCAATTAATACCAAATCCCCTATAACTGCAAACTACAAGTAGCAACAACTGCAGAGTAGTAATATGTGCTGCTCTTCAGCGACAACAGGTAGCAACAGGCATTATTAATGGGACGTATTGTTGTAAAATGTTGGAGAGAAAGTTTGTTGCTAGCCTATTTAATGATTTGTACGTTCAAACCAAACGTTTAAATAATTAATGAAAAGTAATGTGAGACAGTGAAGGGCGGCAAGTACTGGAACAAAAGCGCTCTAGTATTTAAAAGTTTCTTGAGCTAGAACTCCTGCTCTGTAACGTAGTAGTGTTTTTAAAAATATATTTTATTGAAGACACAGAAAATATATTTGGTACATTGATAGAAACCACAGTTACAAATGTTCAACAGTTCAAAGCTACTAGTGTTCAGCCATACATAGTTGAATTTGAAGGCGTACAATATTTAAACCACAATTATAACCAAAACATACCATGTAGCCAAAATGTAAGAGAGTGTTGTACAGACTAACAGGACACATATAATAATGTCTGTAATGCCTTTCTCCTCCAGGCAGGGTCTTCTACTCCATGTCTGTAGAGAAGTTTAGTTTCTACGAAGCAGGAGATCAGTGTAACAAACTGGGCGCTCGGCTCGCTAACACCGGAGAGCTCTACCTGGCCTGGAAGGACGGCATGGACGTGTGTAACGCCGGCTGGCTGGGGGACAGGAGCGTTCGATACCCCATCAACATCGCCAGGCCTCAGTGTGGAGGGGGGCTCATCGGAGTGAGAACCGTCTACCTGTTCCCCAACCAGACAGGATACCCCTACCCAGACTCTCGCTACGATGCCGTCTGCTTCCAAGGTAAGTCCTTCATTGAGAAGAAAATCTACTGTTCAGTGTCGTTTAGGAGCTTCTTTTTTGAGGTTGTTTTAAAGGTCACCTATTATGCAAAATCCACTTTTTCACATCTTGTATACATCAACATGTGTCCCCTCTTCTTCACGTCTCTTCTACATCAACATGTGTCCCCTCTTCTTCATGTCTCTTCTACATCAACATGTGTCCCCTCTGTGTAAAGAGACTCTGAAAGTTTCAGGAAAAAAGATTCTCTCTCTTTTTGTCCTGATCCATTTCTATAAAAACCTGTCTGAAAATGAGCTGATCAGATTTTGGCCACTTATAGATGGTCATAACGATCGGGTGATGTGTCTGTGTAACCATTAGGCCAATCAGCAGCCAAGGGTAATCCCCCCCCCCCAGCTTATCAGCCCGCTGAATCTCCTCCGATATGCACATTGGGTTCTTTTTAACCGAAATCT